GTCAATATCCGTATGTCATATCTCGCTCACCTGGCTGTGGAGCAGAGCCGTCGTGTTCCTGAGGGATAGGCATCTGATGGTCACAGTGTTTTACACCGGTAAGTCTTCTCCTGTCATGTGAAGCATCTGTTGAAGCATATGTCACACACGGCCTCCATTAATCACAAGCATTTACAGGACATCTGCTGTGTGCTGCGAGCGCTGCGGGTTATTCTGGAGCTGACACAGGACTCTCAGTGCAGTATTATTAGAAACATGTTTGATGCGTCCAGATTCACACATTTGACTGTGATCATTGCCCATGGTTTGCTGAATTCACTTCAGTTCTCAGCGCTTTGAACACGCTAAATTAACCCGGACACCTTTAGCAGACAAACTCAATGCATTAAAAAACCTTCATATTAAGCACTTCAGAGCAACTCTCATCAACATACACAGTCAAAGTCTGTTCTTCAGTTTTACATGTAAATAAAGACTCAAGGAGCTGCTTTCCATTTAGTCTCACAGACAATCTCATTCTGAACTAATTAACTAACTACAGATAATAACTAATTAACTAACAAACGATAGATAGATAGATATATACTTTATATATATAGATAGATAGATAGATGGGACTAACCTACTAACTAACTAACTAACTAACTAACTATAGATATATAGAACTGACCTACTAACTAACTAACTAATGATAGATAGATAGATAGGACTAACCTACTAACTAACTAACTATAATTAGGTAGATAGAACTAACCTACTAACTATCTATCTGTCGTTAGTTAGTAGGTAGATAGAACTAACCTACTAACTAACGACAGATAGATAGGACTAACCTACTAGCTAGCTAACTAACTAACTAACTAACGATAGATAGATAGACAGACAGACAGATAGATAGGACTAACCTACTAACTAACGATAGATAGGTAGATAGAACTAACGACAGATAGATAGGACTAACTAACTAACTAACGATAGATGGATAGATAGAGAGATAAATAGGTAGAACTAATGATAGATGGCTAGCTAGCTAGCTAGCTAGATGATAGATAGATAAATGGATAGATAGATAGATAGATGGGACTAACCCACTAACTAACTAACGATAGATATATAGAACTGACCTACTAACTAACTAATGATAGATAGATAGATAGATAGATAGATAGATAGATAGATAGATAGATAGATAGGACTAACCTACTAACTAACGATAGATAGGTAGATAGAACTAACGACAGATAGATAGGACTAACCTACTAACTAACTAACTAACTAACTATAATGAGGGTAGATAGAGCTAACCTAACTAACGACAGATAGATAGGACTAACCTACTAACTAACTAACTAACTAACTATAATGAGGGTAGATAGAGCTAACCTAACTAACGACAGATAGATAGGACTAACCTACTAACTAACTAACTAACTAACTATAGATAGCTCACTAACATCTCCATCATATCAGTTTATTAATCTGCACACATCTATCTGTGTGGTCGATCAGGTTGTGCTTAAACCCTTCAGGACTTTTTGAGAGGAGATGTAAAAGGCTTTTCTGCAGCGGTTACCCAATCACACTATTGCAATCCTGCAAACAGAATCGAACACAGACACGGTTTATTATCAAAGGCTTTATTTATCAAACAAAAAGAATGCACCATTCAAATAACATTTCTATATAAAAAGGAACATTGGACTGTTCTACAGTGCATTACAAAACCAGTAATCGTATACAACGTCATGGGTAGAAACAGCCGGAGGGTTCGACTCGGCAGCGGCTGGAAAACCGCATTTCAGATCTCAACCACTACTCTAATTTGGTTAACGACGCTAACATTGGACAATTTAAGGATGAAGTAAAATACACATAAGAATGATTCCTCCTCTCGCGAGCAGAGAACGTCTAACAAGCCTGCTCATGTTCCTCAACGCTGCCTTCTGATTCTATCATTAACACGACTAATTAGTCACTGCATGAAGGTGATTCTGAGACACACCAATGATCAGCTGATCAGGGATCAATCCCATCAGCCCCGGCACTGCTGAATTATGGGAAGAGTTCTCTGGAAAACGAATGCTGTTCAACCCCGTACGACACAAACGATGCCAGCGCCGCTCAGTTCTACACATGTAGAGGTACAAACGCTGTCAATGAAAAACTAATTCATATGACGCTTGTATTGTATTCATCAGGAAATGAACAAAAAATAAAAAATAAAAAGGTAACTTGTGACTTTTTATTTTACAATTCAGACTATTTTCTTGCAATTCTGAAGTGCAAACTCTGAATTCTAAGAAAAACAGTCAGAATTACGAAATATAAACCTGCAACTATGAGAAAAAAGTCAGAATATATAAAGTTTACATCTCACAATTCTGACCTTTTTTTCTCAGGATTGCAAGATATAGACTTAGAATTGCGAGATATTATGTCAAACTTTAGATATTAAGTCAGAATGGGTTAGAATTCAGAATTCTGACTTGCAATTATGAGAGGAAAAAAGTCACAATAGTAAGATATTAACTTAAAATTGTGAGAAATGAACTTGTAATTCTGAGAAATAAAGTCAGAATAGCAAGATATATAAACTCAGAATTTTTACTTTTTTATTGCAATTTTGAGTTTATATCTCTTCATAATTCTGTTTTTCCCCCTGCCATGTAATGTTAAAAAATTGAATTGTAACTTTGGTAACACTTTCTATGAAGCCCATATTTATAATACATTATAAGGGTATTCTTAAGGCATTATAATGAATGCATAATGCATGATAAAAAAAACTTATAATATGTTATATCATCTTATGAATATTCATAAGAACAGTTTTAATGTATTATAATATTTAGTTATTTGTGGTTATAGCTTTTTAAGAGTATGATGATTTATAACACACAGTGAACATGTTGCATCCACTTAAGTTACAATAGATTATATTTCTCATAGTTATAATGTATTATAAGTCTCATATCTTGCCATCTTTGTTATGCTACTTTACTTAAAGCAATCAAAGACCAATTATAAGTATAGTAATAATAATAATAATAATATATTTTTTCTCAGCCATAAGATGAGATGAATGTGTAATGTGTGAACACAATTAATATGGTGTTCATTGTGTGTTATAAATAATCATAATCTTAAAAGTTATAACCACAAATGCGTAAGCATTATAATGTATTATAATTGTTGTTATGATTATTTATAAGATGATATAACATATTATAAGGTTTTTATAATGCATTATGCATTCATAAATACCCTTATAATGTATTATAAATATGGGCTTCATAGAAAGTGTTACTGTAACTTTTTATGTTACACTTCTGACCTTTTCCCCCCAAAACTTTTTTGTCAATTCAGACTTTTTTTTCTTCTTCTCACAATTCTGACTTTTTATCTTGCACTTCTGAAAACAAGCAAGAACAAAGTCGGAATTTTGAGATATTACAAAGTAACAAATACGATTTCAGATGTAGAAAAGAGCTGCGAGAGGATTCTCTGTTTGCTTTTGAAATGAATGACATTATTTTCTGGTAGCAGGATCTGTGAATCTTCACTGTGAGAAAGATGAACAGACTGCGAGGGAATGAGAGCGACTGCACATCCACACAAACTCCATGCTTCAGAATCCAAACGTCAGGAATGTTGTCGATCACATTTAAACGCGACACACAGAAAACGTCAGACAACTGAAGGCGTGTTATGATGCTGAAGCAAAATATCTTCCTTCAGAAACAGTGAAAATCCGTCCCAGAATTCCTCCTCCTTTATTCTCCTAATGGGCTAAATAAAAGCTCTAGAATTAATCACATCGTCTTCATAAATTACTGTGAAAGGAACAATCTAAATCATATATTAAATATATCGTAGAAACCATCAGTCCATCAGTCGCTCGCTGCGTCTGTACAGTAAAAACAGCGTGCCGCTCCAGGATCTGCAGAAAAATATCAAATATAGGGATGCATTTCATCCTCCATTCATCATCCATCTTTTGTCTCGCAGCACAGCAAATTAATAAAGTGACCAAAAATATACATAGGCACATAAAAAGTCTTCCTGACATAAAAAAAAGAGATGAACGGAAAAGCTGATGGTGTGAAATGCATGAAATGTCTCAAAGCGGTCACATTAACATTATTTGACAAATTAATTCACTCTTCTGCCATGTTTGTTCACCGACTGACTGATCACGGTCACAGCAAAACCAAGCCAAGACCAAAAAAACATGTTCTTCTTCAGTGTTTTTGACTTAATTTCCAGTACAGATATATCGACATTCCAAAATAAAAAAGGAAAACAAATTCTGTCCAAAATATATTTTGTAAACCATAAAGAAAATATTGAAAATATATTTATATTCAACCTTCATATACCAAATATATATTTCAGAATGTATTTCAGGGGCAAGAAGATACATTTAGAATCTTTACAGTAGCTACATTTTTTGATAAAATGTTCATGTGTTATAGACAACAAATCATTTTAAGTGTGAAATGTGAATGCATTTTCTATGATTGAAAATATATGAAGGGCCAAACTAATTTTTATGCTTTTAAAAAATATATTTAAAATATATTTTCAAAAATACACCAAAAAATCTATTTACATACAGTAAATATATTTTAAAACACATTTTTAGCAAATATACTTTTTGGCCTATTTTTGTATATTTTAAAATATACTGAAAAAAGTTTTTTTTTTGGTGCATGGGACATTTACTAGAGAAACAAAAGTCTTATTTTCTAAAAAAAAAAAATTATGCTTAAAACAAGAAAAAATATCTGCCGACGGGTTCAGAAAAATAAGTTTTTCCCCCCCTTTTTTTCAAGTTTTAAGAGTAAACTTACTTAATTTTTATACTTTTATCAGAAAAGAAGACTTGTTATCTGATGCCATTTTGCTTCTCAAGTAAATGCATCTTGATTTAAGAACATTTAGATATTTTTACCGGAAAACACGGCAAAAATACTGAGGAAGAAAATCATTTTTGGCAGCACAAGTGGTTCATTTATCCCTGGATGGAGATGAAATGCATAAAGTGAACTCAAGAGCACACCGCAGGGGTTTACAGTTCCTCTGTGGTCAAATAATAAACCAATATGAGATTCACAAAGAGACACAGCAAACAATCAACAATAAAAATCAGTGCTGCGTGAGCAAAATGATCCGATCTTCTCGGCTTCATCCAACCGCTTTCTAGTGTGAACATACAGTTCCCTAGTGAAGTGTATTCAAGGGATTTTGGCAGCAATAGATTGGCAAGATGTCAGTGAAAATGTGCATTTTGGCAACTCGGTCGTGTTTGAGGTGAATCGCTAATAATCCCATGGGAAAGGTTTCCGTCAGTAGATGAAGCTCAGGAATCCTCACAGTCTTCCTCCTGATGGATCTGCGTTCAGATCGTATGTAAACCAGTATAAAATCTCAGACAGTGTTAGAAAAGAGACGCTTCTTCTCCAGCGCGGAGATTCGGTTCGGAGTCATTTTCCCGTTATAATCCCGGTTGAGGGCTTCAGGTGAGTCAGAGAGAGTCCTCTGCGTCTGCATTAAAAGGCCGAACCCGTGATGGCATTGAGCTGCTTCATCAGACCTTCCAGACTGGCCATCTGCTCGCTCAGATCGTCCTGCTCGTACACCTGCGGAGCACAAGAGCAGAAGAAACTTTAACCTGGTTTGGGAAAGGTCACTGCGATATTGAGAGGATCCATGCAAACAGTAGTGAGGTTATTGCATGCATATCCCAGCGCTGTCCCTGATGTTTTGAGCTCCATCTATAACATCAGACAGCCGTGTGAAAACACTCAAGCATCAGTCGAAGTGCTGTTAGCTGATCTATCGTCACGAGTCCAGAAACACTCGTCAGGAAGAGATTGCTTGCTTTAAACACTCTGACAGACCAATATCTGACTTTACACACATGCAACACAAACTCACGTGGAACTACAGACTGAAGAGCACCAGTTCTCATTTCTACTGTAGTTGTGCACAATTCATCATTTATTCATCTGAGGACATTCAAAATATATGAGGATGTGATATTTTATAATCGCATTTAATAAAATATTTACTGATGCTTGAGATATTTTGATATCATTAATATACTATTATAGTTTTTATTCACATTTTAGTTTTTATTTTTATATTTAATTTAATTTTCATTTTAGATAGTTGTAGTAATTTTGTTGTGTGTTTTTCATTTTTATTATATTATTATTATTAAAAAATGTCTATATATATACATACCCACACACACACCCACACACACACACACACACACACTCGCACACTCACACACGCACACGCTGACGCTCACGCTGACGCACACACACACACACACACACACATATATATATATATATATATATATAAAACCTAATTAAAATGACAAAAACACAACATTTCTAAAACTTTAAAATTAAAGTCAAAACTACCATGAACATGCAAATGTCTAAGATTATGGAAATATTAACTTCAAATAATTTTTTATTTAAAATTCTGAATTCAATTATTCAATGATTTAGTTCAAAGGCCTTTGCTTTGGCTGATAACAAAGTCTGTGAATCCCTGCTTTAATAAAATCAGGAAATGCATTTGTAATATATCAATCGTGTAACTGTCTCTTGCATAAATATATCTACCGCGGTATTACCGGTAAACTCTCTCACTCGGGCTGCGCTGAAGTGTCCGATCACTGTCAGTTTGTTTATCTGCTTCATCTCTGATGAGTAAAGGCCATTCCAATTACACAGATCCGTGTTGGATGGACAGAGTCTCCTGACCTTTCCCTCTCTCACTCATAAACTAGAAAAGCGAGGCGTCTGAGGCCAAATCAAACCCCGAGCACAAACTTCCCACGTTCTCTTGTTATTGTGACATCAATAGTTGAACACTGTCTGCGGTCTCATCTGCAAATCTTCACAAAATATTAATAACTACACCCGATAAAGCAGAGGAAAAACCAGGATAGGTTTTTGAATCACAGAAGCATCAATCATTCTTTTTTTAGAGAAGGAAAACGAGCCAAATTGTTGCTTGAGGTTTTATGGAAATAATTCTCATCAGTTGTTAAGCGTTCAGCTTACGGCCGAGATTTAAAGCGACTCCCCGCAGAGTTCAAAGTGCTCTGAGAGACTGAAGCGAGTGTTTGATGAGGAGATCTGGATCGGTGTGGGTGTGTGTGAGTGTGTGTGTGTGTGAGTGTGTGTGTGTGTGTGTG